GTCTAGCTAAAAGTTTGTTCCATACTCCATGTGCCTGTTAAACAGGGAAATCTTGTATAATTAAGAATGTACATGAAGGTGCAGTAGTTAAGGCTCATGTCTTCAAGGGGAAATCCAAACCATTTTGAAGTTGAGTTTTAGTAAATGAGCAAAAATATGTACAAAGAGAACTCTGAAAATTTGATCAAAACCTGACAGTAAAAAAAAATCATGTTTTATGCAGTCTAGTTGTTATGTTAGGGTGTTCTCCGGCTGCTCAAACTGAGCTTTGAGTATTTGCCAGTGCCTTCTATTAGAAATAATACAAACATGTGTGTTTCAAGCGTTTTTTTCTTCCTAATTTGTTCAGTACTGGCAGGGGCGAAATGGACCTAGTGGTCTGTCTTTTCTAGAGGACCTGGGGGAAATGGCACATGGTAAAAAAAAATATGTAGAAATAGATTTGTTTTCTTCCAAAAAATTAATAAAATTTTGTCTAATTTAGTCAACTTAGATGCGGCCACAACTTATTTTCCAGCAATCAATTTCCACATGCCTCTATATTTACAATTACTAGGCTCAAAAGTTAAGGGGTCCATCTGACCCCACTTTCTCAAACATGCAGTCATTAAAAAGAAATTGTAAAGTTTTTTTTTTTTTTCATGTCATATTCTGAATGCATCTATTGCCCCCTTCTCTTGCCCGTGGCCAAAAAGTGACTCAAGTCTTGCTAAGTGCAGTTAGTGCACTCTGCAAGTGCTCATCCAACTCATCAAAATATTTCTCATCTAGGAGATTGTAATCATTTCTCATAATGGCTCCATGATTCATACCCCTGATTTGACTTGAATGTCGAGACAAAAGAATGTGCACCGGTTTAACCTATATTTGTGCATGATCACTGTAATGATTCTGTAAATCATTTGATCATTTTAGAATGTGGAAAGGGGCAGGCTCACCTTGGTGACAAATTGGCTATATTAAGAGCATAGAGAGGAGGAAAACATCATTGATAATTACCAGCAAATTGAGTGGAGGATAAGAAATTGGTAACTCTTGATTTTTCCTATGTGTTAAATTTATTAAAATTTCAATTTCTCCACTGGAAATAATTTGTCCCCTCAAAATATATTAGTGGATTCCTATTTTCACATGCCCCCTTTTTGAAATAGATTTAATTATTACCTGTATCAGACATCTGAGCAGTGGTTTTACAAAATCATATCACTTGTTGTAATCCTTAAACAGCTAATCGATAAATATAAGACCATATTACCCTCTCATGAAAAGCCTATGGACTTTATGTGTTAAAAAAGCAGTAAATATAGTCTTATATTGACCGCGCAGTATTTTGTCATTTTCATTGCGCATCTCTTATGCCTACGAGAACCTGCGCACTTTGCGCGCACTCTAATGTGACGTAATAATCACACCAAAATTACACTGTTTACAGTGTATCAAAAATTTCGCCAAGCACTGGATCCACAGTGCTGGTTTGACAAAGTTTTTCAGTTCTTTGAGATTGTCATGGTTGATTTATGTATTTGCTCTAGATGTCTGATTTGGATAAAAATAAAAATATTGACTGGCTTAACTTTCGGGAGATACCACATATATTGCCGTCACAAGACCCATATTGCCCTCATCTTTGATTCTGTGCTATATGAGTCTAGTTTGGGTAATATATGTGATATCTCCCTGAAGACCAGTCAATATTATATAAACATATTTTTTAACAGCTAAAACTAAATAAATAAGTATATGAATAAATAGATAAATACAAATGTTGAGAATTTTTCTTTTATTTTAATTTTTCTCATTTGTAAGAGGTACACTGTAGTATCAAATTCAGGTTTTGAAACTTATCAAGAGAGATTGTTCATAATATTTGTTATCATTAAGTTGGCCTTTTAAATTCTATTCATTTTTAGTTTTTGTTTTTTAATATGTCCATCTAAATATCTAAGATTCTCATCCTTTACAATCAGCAGTAGATTTGAACACACTGCTGCTCCTCCCAGCTCACAACAAATCCCGGTAATTTATTTTCACTAGCGCTTGTTTGTCAGAAATAAGGTGTGTGGGAGGATAAATCACCTCTTCGTGAATATGTTATGACAGCTGTAAAAGGGAATGACAGAATGACACATAAACAAGTACAGGCCTTAAGTCTTAAAAGGGTCATTTATAGGCAGGGTGATAAACAACTTTTTTACATTTGTTGGAAGTCTTCAAAACATATCATTTAATTGCAGACAGTTTTTGTAGAAGCATGTATTAATGATTGGATAAATAGATTAAAATGTTCTGTTTGCCCAGATGGACAAGTAGTTATATTCAATTGTCCATTAGTATCATAGTCACTCATAGTTTCATGTATTGTTAACACCAGAATTTTTCATGGAACTACATATAAACTGTCACAAATAGGGAAAAATCAGTTTTGTGATTCATTAATGAAAGTCTGGGTATAAAAGTGTCCTAATGTTTTTGGCTGTACAACCAGATTTTGTCCTCTTAATTATTAATGAATTTTAGAAGTGTACATGTAGAAAATGAATGCAAGACCCCTCAAGCTTTCTTCCACGTACCCCCCCCCCCACCTCCCACCTCCCCCCTCCCCCAACAACAAAAAGAGGAAAATCTTTTAAAACTGCACTTGTTTAAACCATGAATAATCTAGACGAACCCAGTAATCAAAAGTAAATAGAGTAAATTATTTATCGTTCATGTCAGTCGTCTTTCCCAGGAGTGTAAACATTTACAATATTTATCAGAATTAAAAGCCATCTGTGTAATAATATATCATTTGAAGCACTTAAGCTTTCAAACGTCTCTCTTGCTCTGTCTCTCTGTCTGATTCTTTATCAGTTCCTCTCCCTTTGCTCTATCTCACTCTCTTTCACTCTAACTCTCACTCCACTTTCTCATTTTCTTCTTCCTTGGTATCCTCTACATTCACTGATCTCTCCTCTCTCTTTCTTTCTCACTCCTCTTTTCCTTACATCCTTTTTCACACCTCATGCCATTCTCCCTTCTTCTTGCTCTCTCTCTCTCTCTCTTTTTTTTCTCTCTCTCTCTCTCTCTCTCTCTCTCTCTCTCTCTCTCTCTCTCTCTCTCTCTCTCCCTCCCTCCCTCCCTCCCTCCCTCCCTCCCTCCCTCCCTCCCTCCCTCCCTCTCTCCCTCCCTCCCACTCTCTCTGTACCCCTCCCCTCTGCTTATGTGTGGAGAAGCCACCTGCCAATATCGGCAGAACAGTGGAAAAGGTTATTCATCCCCTAACATGTACATGTATATCCATCATTTTGATGCCTCATCATGCAGTGTCAAAGTGTACTTGTAGGATACACACTGTGAAAGATAGGCTTACCAATCTTCTAATTTTTATTACTTTTTCATAAATCAGCATTTCATTTCTTGTTAAGGTCATGAGTAAGTTAGTTAGAAAGTTCAATGTTTGTGTATGGATTGGAAATACTGTGTATGTCATATTTTATTTCATAAGAACATTAGTTCTATGGTATTTTTCCCTTGATTTTTTTTTTAAAATCATTAAAACAACTAAGAAAGTTCAGAACCTTTCTGATTGAAAGATTGAAAAGACAGTTTGTTTTTCACCTTGGAGATATTCCCTCTGTGCATATAATTTTTTTATTTTTTTTTATTTCATAGCTACAGTAATACTAATAATCTTGGTCAAAGTGTACCTGCGTAATAGTTCTCAAAAATCCCACCCAGACTTATTGCAAATGAAAACAAATAATCTGCCCTCGTTTCACTCTTAATCAAAAGGAAAATGTGTTTCTCTCCTGCGACATCGTCTCTGTTTCCATGTGCAGTCATAGGCTGGTATGTGTGGAAGCTACTGTAAATAAACGGTGAATGTCAGAGAGAAATATGAGTGGGCGAAGGTGCCTTGCATCTACACATCAGCTTTCTCGTTCAAGTGCTATTTTAGAATGTGCTTTGTTGGCTGACTAGGAAGGAGGGTGTATGTTGTTTACTGCAGCAGCCAGTGAGGGAAAGAGAGAGAAAGAGAGAGAGAAGGTAGACATCGAAAAGAAAGCAATTGAGATACAGAAGAGAGTGGGAGGAACAGAGAAGGGGAGAGATAGTTGGAGAAACAAAAGAGAGAGAGAGAGAGAGAGAGATGGAGACAGAGACAGAGACAGCTATGTAGACAATTAGTGGGATAGAGCATAGTTTTATGACTTTGCTGCATAATGTTTGTCTATCCATATTTCTTCTCAAAATGTCAACTGTAATATTCATCAAACAGAGCTATAGCATGTTTTTGTAATTCAGAGTTCCAGACAGTACGTGCTGTTAACCAGCAGGGCTTCACCTTTTAGTAAACCATACAAGCCAATACCCCTCAACTTTAGCAGAGGGTATGATGGAGCTTGACCCAATATGCTTTGTCTCCTGAAAATATACACTCTTTTTTTTCTCTAGAAAATCTGAAAGATTTGTTTTTCAAGTAGTGTGATATAGTATAAGGCAATTTCAAGGACAATTTTTTTTTAATGAAATAAAAAAACTCTGACTTTGGCAAAATCATTTTTAATAAGAATAAAAAGAGAATAAGAATTATTGGATTATTGTCTGAATTGTGCTTTTTCTATCAAACTTATGAATATGATGCTCCATTATCACTACATAATCCATCTTCAGCATGACTTCTACAGTAGCACTGTATAAGTTTGTTATTTTAATCTTTCCTACCAGATACCCATTTGCTACATCTGGGTAGAAAGTGACAAATCTAGATTTATGTCATTACAAAGGAAATAATTGTATCGATCAATGTCTCTTTTCTCTTTATCAAGTTTATGTTTATTTACAAGCTGAAATACAATGTATCATGCAAATTCTAATAACAAAAAGCATGAATGAATGAATAAATGAACTGAATGTAGGGAGAGGCATATTGTAGATGCTACCATCTTGTTTTGTTGTTTTCTTTATTTATCCGTAATTCTATCTCCGCTCACTTTCTCTTCATATTTGTATGATTGCAGATCTGGGATACAGCAGGACAAGAGAGGTTTCGGAGCGTCACACATGCATACTACAGAGATGCCCATGCACTTCTACTACTCTTCGATGTCACAAATAGGCAGTCATTTGAGAATATACGGGTAGGTTACATATTTTTATGCCTCCGTTACGAAGTAGCCGGAGGCATTATGTTTTTGGGTTGTCAGTCCGTACGTACGTCCTGTTCTTGTGATCGCGTTATCTGAAGAACCGATCGATGGTCATGGCCAAACTTTGGTCATGTATGTATCTTGCAGAGCCGATGAACTGATTAGATTTTGGGGTCATGAGATTAAAGGTCAAAGGTCACAGGGCTCATTATGTATGCATAAACAGCTTGTGATCACGTTATCTCAAGAACCGATTGATGGATTGCTGCCAAACATAGGTCATGTATGTTACTTGCAGAGCCGATGAACTGATTAGATTTAGGGGTCATGAGGTCAAAGGTCAAAGATCATGGGCTCATTATGTATGCAAAAATAGCTTGTGAACGCATTCTCATTAGAACTGACAGATGGATTACTATTTAACTCAGGACATCTTGCAGAGCCAATGAACTGAGTAGATTTTAGGGTCATGAGGTCAAAGATCAAAGGGTCATATATGTATATGAGAAATTGCTTGTAATCACGATATTCTGAGAACCTGTTAATGGATTACAATTGAACTTGAATTCGAAAAATTTCTTCTATTTTGGTTTGTAAAATTGCTCTATGACGGAGGCATCATTTTCGACTGCGCGCAGTCGAATTCCATCTAGTTCTTTCTCGCTTCTTATCTGCTCTAATTGTTCTTCTAAAAGTGATATTGTCCATCACAGCACTTGATGATCGAACTGTAATAGGCCATTTCATGCAATGTGTCCTTTTATCAATTAATCTAAAAATGAAAATATCTTGGTATTATGGATACCAGAAAGAATATTTAGTCAATGGTCTTATCACAAAAACAAATATTTTTAATGTAAGAAAGACTTATGACCTATGGGACACACTGCACAAAACCTCTCAAATTGGGTTTTGAAAGGAATTATGATATTTCAATTTTATTTCCACTTTAAAAACATTTACAAATCAATATACATATGAATAATAGTAGTGGGGTCATGAAAAGCACTAAATTGAATCATTAATCATGAAAACATAAACATATATGTTTTATTCCTGATTAGAATTTGGAATGGTCATACATATAGTAAATCATATTTTTGGGGTATAATAGTCTTTCTAGTCAACTAAAAGGCCTGATCAGCTGCAAAATGTGGCAAACGTCTGTTGTTCAACCAGTCACTAGACTTTCACTGATTTTGTGCAGATTTTGCTCTTTTTTTCTGACTGAAAACTGAAGAGCCTAATCACATGTACAGTGTCTGTAATTAGATTGTCCTTTTTAATAAGACCATTGCAAACCACAATCAGGCAGGAATTTAGTTCTTTATAATCATCATATCTGATATTTTATATTGCACTTTCTTCCAAAATCACATCACAGTCAGTTTTGGCTGGACCTAGTTCTTATTTCTCTTGTTGGCATAAGTCAATTCGGCTCATGAATCCAGCTCTGACCTTGACCACCGGAGCCACGATTAGAGTTCTCTAATGTTTTATTTTTCATTTGGGAATGAATCGTGGCATGAAATTTCATTTTCATCTGTTGTAAAAAATTATGGTAGCCATTTTTCTGACATGCTCAAGCCAGGTTGTAGGTATGTACAAATTCAGTGTAAAATCTGTGTACTGTCTTGCATGTAGGAATTTAGTGGGGCATCAGGACCTGACAAGTTTTCAACCATCTGGCTCTGAAATAAAGGAAGACTGAGATGACTCAGGCCTAGCTGCAAGGGTGATTGTCCTCGGAGGATGATCGTGGCATTATTAAAGAAAAAGAAAAAAAATGGACAGCATACAACATGTCCTTAAACTCCCACCAGATGATATCCAGTAGACCAGGGCACCTACATGTATGTAGATTATACTAAAAGAATAAAGGTTAACTTAATAACGATGACCCAATAGCCTTTCTCCACTGTACCTCTTTGTGGGCTATGTATTGATCGCAGACAACCCCACAAAGTCTTTTCATCGTTCTTGGGTACCTGGCAAAAAGCCATGTATGTGAATCTTTGCAGGCAAGATGGTGATTTAGAAGGAATAGGAGGCTAGTTAGGTTGTGCAAAGACATATTTGTCAAATCCATGCGTGAAAATTGCATCCGTTGGAAGCCAGAAAACCAGCAGAAGCCTATGGATTTAACATCTTTCTGGCTTATATTAGAAAGTTTGCAGAATACACTGTTACTGATAAAGTTAGGTAAAATAAGCATGCTTTCTTAGAATTATCCTGTTGAGAGCCAGGAGAGCGTTAGTTGATATACCTTGACATGCTTTCAGCAGATGAATTGTCCTGTTTGCCACAACAACTCAACAGCTCAACCTCTCAAGATTCATGAGTAGTTACTGCATACTTGCTTAGCAGTAAAGATGGCAACAAGATACACTGTACCTAGCTTGTCATCCTGTTTGAGGCAGTCTGTGGAAATTAGATCATGCAAATAACAGCATGAATTGACCATTTCCCAAAGGCTGCGAGATAGCATTCAGTATTGGGCTATTATTGGCATGCTTCTAAAGCACATGGCACAGCTTACAAATAGAGTTTATTTATAACTACCAGTGCTGCATCTAATTTTCTTGAAGTAGAAGGACAGCATGTCACAGGCCATTTGTTATTCAAGAACTGTAAAAGGTCTTGAAATGTCGACATTCTAAAACTTTGTTTATGCAGTAAAACCATCAACAAAAAGCAAACAACAAACGGCAGCAAATCAAAATATGTTGAAAGCTAGAAGTGCATGGTAAAGATGTGCTATGCAATACACTCATGCACAAGATATCCAAATAACCACTACTGATTGCTTGTAGGGGCAGTAGAAGAATCATTTGATTTTCATTTTAAGTGATACTTTAATAGGCTCATAGCCGCTTTAGTTGTCAGGCTTATCAAATTTTACACAAGTCGCCCAATGATAGCTTTCAGATGGCTGAGAATATCTTTAAGAAATATGAAACATTGTTTTTTGGCAATGGTGGAAAATCGCTTTTAGTCCTGAAAGTGTAGTGCTCTTTTTGATTCCACTAAAATGATACCATCTGCTGAGAGCCAGAAGGAAGTTGATTCTATGTAGAAGTACATGTTGATTGTTTGGAGCCAGAAGGCTGTTAGCTCATATCTTTTAACCCACTGACTACTGAATTCATTCATTCCCATTGGCTTAATACAGAAGACACATCCAGTTCCCAGAGGTAAAGGGTTAACCCAGCATCAATACCATTTTGGCTCCAATCAGATGATGTATGAATGCCCTTCTTGCTCTTAGGAGACAATAGGGACTTTTAGATTTGCGTGGACTGCTACGTGTGACGTCCTGCCTTAAAAGAACGTCACACGTAGCAGTCCACGTTGTCGTCATGCAAATCTAAAAGTCTCTAATGTCATCTGTTTAGAACCAGAAGGGCATTAAAGCTATGTAAAACTGTAAAAGTCAATGCCCTTTTGGCACTCGGAAGACAATTATGAAAGGACTTCTAGAGCTAAAAGGTAGAAGACAGACAGGACAAGCTTGACCAGGGAATACTGATCTAATTTGCAGAACGCTGGCTGTAATCAGAGCAGATCAAGGCATGCGTTCAGGATGGTTAGATTGGGTTGGGTCCCATCGGACACTGCCCCACTCCACTATAGCGATACATGTGCTATTGAGGTCTGGTTAGCTGTATACACAAAGTGTGCACTAAAGCTGAAGGCTCATTATGTAAGGGGGTCACTGGGAGATCTGCAAAAAAGAGAGGAATCCTGTAATATAAATGTTACTCTCAAAGGAATAAATGTGAAAATTGGGGTCTAGGTACCGTATTTTAATGTCATAGGGTCAGTAAGTCTCGAGGTCAAGCTCTGTCTAATGTTTTTGAATTATTGATTGAAATCAGTACGGCTGCTTTGAACTCAATTAGCCAAAAAAAATTTAAGATTGCATTGTATTCAATAGCTCTTGTTTGCCTATTAAATACTTCATCAAATTAAAAAGCCTGAGATAATTGAATTGGGCTTGGGTCTTGGTAAAGATACAAGCACTGTACACAGAAAGATGTATATGGGACGACGCGTTATCTATCCAGTCCGGATCGATATAATAATTTACAGAATATATCAATTAGTAGGCGGTTTCCCGGCAATCATCACGTATTAGTCAAAACATATTCTTTCACATGATTGGTAATAAGAGCTTCCATTTCATTTTTTGAGAGGGGGGCATTTCCAAAACTGGGTTATACCTCTAAGCCCCTGGAAATTGTGTTGTATATACTTATGCAATTGGTTAGAAAACAAAACTACTGGTTTTTATAAGTCAGATATGATCATTCCATTTCTAGATGAGGGCAAGAACTAGTACTAGTAATTTATCACAAAGGATTTTAGATTCTTTTTTTCTATGTTTAAGATATACAGGGGGATATAATATTTCATTTTAGTTACATTGTTTCCAAAACTGGTCTATACCTTTAATCTAAACAATCGTTAATACATGATAGTGGTTTATACTGGCAGTAGCCGTGTTTGGCCTGTTTACCCTCATATACCAGCTCAAGAAAGAGAAAAAGGCATGGATCTGTAAGTTATCCAAGTTTTGCCCAACTAAGGGATAGAGATGGATACATGGCGTAATCCCTAGGAAGGCTATTCTCATATTTCCAATGATGGAACATTGGGCGTGGGTGTGTTAGCTCATATCCTATACCAAGAGGTTGTAGAGTAATAGCTTGCCCAGATAGCAGTAGACCCTCCCCTGAGCGAAGAGAATTAGATCGATTCTCCTGGTCATCTATCATTCTTTTTCCCCTCTAGTCATGAGTGTGTACACTGTAGTCCTACCTACACGTAATTGTGTAAGGTTCATTGTATCTTTTTTAAATCGTACAAGG